GAGGAAGATCAGTGTTACGACGGGAGTGCAAAAGGAAAGTGGGGCTAGCCCTGCCGCTCAGTGTCAACGAAAAGCTCCCCCGCACCCCCGTTCCTCACCGTTTACCCCTCGCGTGCTGGTGCCACAAGAGAAAGGCCCGCCCCCCAACCGCAGGGGGAGGACTTAGCAGTGGGAGAACGCTGGCGCATTCCATCCATTCTGTTTTCCACTCGCAGAATCCGACCGTCATTGGCTAGCTGAGAACAGGCGCATAGATCTCTCGTTCACCTGTTCGACTTTCTTTTTTTTTTTGTAACTTTATGACAATAAGTTCTATCAGCAAAAACGTATTTTCAGTGCCTTTTTTAGCATTCACTGCAGAATTTTCATTTATGTGATGTCTTCTTTCATTTTCACAAACTTCAACTAATTCTAATTTTACATAAGCTTTACAACGTTTTCTTTGTTGTAAAGTGTCTGTTTTTCAAAGAAACTGGTGATTAAAAAAATACACATACTGATGTGCAAAATTACAAGACATTTCGGGAGGTGCTTCATTATTATCAAGAAAAATGCATTCGACAAATGTCGATTCCTCTTAATTACAAGGTAATAAGAGCTTCGTGCATCACATAACCGTGCTTTGAAAATTTAACGCCAGAGAATAGATTGCATTTCTTCCACTTTGGGTCGTGTTCTTAAATGTACTTTAGGGTAATTTGGAAAAATCTGTAGAATTATCACACAATAGAATTATCGTGACAATGCGCAGGAGCATACTTTGAAAGTGTTTTCCCTGCAATTAGGAAATGTATTTTGGACCCAATGGCATAAATTCCAAAAGATAACGCATCTTTGAAAGTAACTAAATATGTTTAAACACGTCGTGATTTTGCCAATATACAGAATCAGTCGTAATTCTTCACGGTTTCTTAACGAAGCAAATTACAAGAAAGGTATTAAATATTTCTTATTTCAGTCGACCTGTCACTATGTATGTGGAGTAACAGTTCAAATTCACTACTCTATATCCAACTTTCTGTACGTACACGAAAGACATAGTAACTCAAAACAAATTAAGTTCATTTAAATAATGTTAAAAAATAAGACTAATACTTCAAAAAACCAATGTCTTGGAGTTGACACGTTTCGATCTGTTGCTCACTTAAGACCCGCGTTGGATATTCCTCGACCACCGGTTGCACGTGTAACTCCACACGGCACAAGTTGAGAAGCGCGTCCCGCTCTTTCGTTCTCGTTGCACACGCACTGCGTTCTTCGCTTCTTGGAAATGCCAATGTAATGGCTGGGATATACAAATATTGTACTTAAGAAAATTTGTTCTCTCTTTTCCTCTCGCCCTTTAGCACTATCGGCCTCCACTACCTCCCAGTCATGAATCACGTCTTTAGTAATGCTAGAGAGATAAGATATGTTTGAGTAGACATGTTGAACAATATTCTGACATTCAATATTAGTTTGGTTCCACAGATCTGCTTATTACCGAGTCAACAGGATTTTTACAACAATGAAAATTTGAAAAAAATATTTTTAGGTCGCCTTGTGACAGAAAACTCTACTTTCAGAGCACAATCTTCAAACATCACACACGGATGAGGGCAATAATTATTTATTCTCTAAAACTTTTCGTGTTCAGGGTTGAATTTTCTTTAAGGGGCTCTGAGATTGATGCCATCAGAAGTATTAGTTTATCTATAATTAATGTCTATGTCGAAACTTGGTTTGACACGGTACTCCTAAAGCTATTGGCTCCCAACCAAAATTTAATCAAGCAAGATTGTTTAAAACGTTAATTAATTATGAAAAAATTGATAGAGGTGTTTGAATGGTGGCACTGTTGTTTTTTTTGTGACAAAACGTTAGGCAAATCAAAAATGTAGACAAAGCTCTTGTATTTTCAGCGAAACAATGGCGAAGATGAGTTATGATGCGATTTTAATCTTCAGGAAGAAAACGTACAACAGAAAAAGGTAGTTAAAGTCACAATGACTTTGAAAAGAATCTCGATATGTTGTATGCAAATACATCGTATAGTTCACAAAAATCGTAGTTTTTTAAACTTATGGGATGATGAGGCAGAACTTAACGTTACACTCTCAACATCCGTTTTACGAAAAGCCATCTTTTGCATTTATCAAGTTTTGAAAAAACGCTCCTCAATTGATGAGGCAAAACGTTTAAGAAATGAGAAAATGAAAAAAATGAAAAAATAAACAATATGATTTGATGTATATTCGTCGTTTAGTTAAATTCATGTGTTGTTATTGCAAGGAAGTAAAGTAAAAATAGTAAAGAATATTGGACAGCGTGTTTTATACATCAATTTCACCCTCTTTTCATATTTTACCCGACATGGGTATTTACTGAGAAATTGAATTCGCAAACAACTGAAAATCCTTTGGATATAATATGGAACGAACATTAATCTGTTTTAAATATTTCCATTTATATATCTCCATAATTCAGTTGTGACAATGTAAAAATACAATAAATTACTCATGTGATTCATTGATACACTAGGATATTGGCCTAGTCAATACGAAAGTCAATCTAGCACGAATCCACAATAAGAGTATAAATTGTATATAATATTTCATAAAATCACATGAATATAATGTGTAAACAAAAGAGAAATAAAGCTGATAATCGTTTCTGAAGACCATAAATCTTCAATTAGAAAGTCATTTTCTTTTAACATTAAATAATATAAAATAAATAAAATAATTTTCTTTATTTCTGGGAAGGCATAGCTCATAACGCTAGCTTCTGTTCCGAAATAAGTGCCGAAATAATGTTAAAATTTCAAATGAATATGAGAATTCCGAGTACCATTAATTAATGGGTACGTGCGTAGTAGGAATAGTCCATAAGGAAGAAGAGGAGTGTTGTATACTTAGAGTAGTTCACTTTCGCAGCTGGTGGTGGCGCGCGGATGCTTTATTCACAGCGCGCGGGGAGCTGCCCGGCCGCGTATGGGGCTCGCGGGAAATCCGGGCGAGGTGGCAGCGGCGCCGGCGCCAGCGCCCCCGCCATCCTACTGCTCCAGATTCGCGCGTGGGCGGCGGGGACCAACCGCGCGCATCCCTGCGCGAACCTGACCCTGAGGCGAGGGCCGCGGCAGCCCCCGGCTCCAATCGATCACGGAAGGATAGGTGGCGGCGGTGGCTACGGCGGAAGCGGCGGGGTGAAGTGGTGAGGAGAAGCGACGGGAAAGGGCTGGAGGAGGAGGCGGTGGGACATGGCGGGGGAAGGGGGGAAGCAGTAGTGGGAACTGGCGAGGGGAAGTGGCAGGGAGGGAAGCGGTGGGGGGAGCGGCGAGGAGGAAGGGGCAGAGAAGATGTGGGGAAGAAGCGGTGGAAAATGGTGGGAAGGGGAGGGATGGGAAAGAGCTGTGGAAAAGGTCGGTAGGATGCGGCAGGGGCGAGGGGAAGAGAGTGGGGAAACCGTCAAGAGGAAGCGGCAGCGGGGGTAAGCAGCGGAGGGAAGGCGGCGGGGGTGTTTTGGCGTATGCGGGGGTCGGCTGCAGTGGTGGTTGGCCTCCGCGGCATGCACGGACGGTGAAGAAAGGGGTAGCGGCGGAGCGGGGGTGGAAAGACCACAGTGCTGGCGGCGACAGCGGCGGCAGCAAGGTCGGAATCCCGGGGCAAGGTCCTGCGCGTTATCACACCGAGCCGACAGAGGGTGAGCAGAAACCTCCTCTCGGACCTCCAGTCGCAGGATTTAGTGCAGCTCTTTGATGGAGTATAAGATTTCATGAGATTCTTCGATTAGGTTGAAAACCAGAACTCGCCTTTCGCATCGATTGCGATGAATCGATAGATATACGGCATGCGTCGGAAGTTGGCGAAATACGAGACTGAATAAACTGTTTAATGCATGTAATGACATACGTTTACATGTGTTAAGTTTTGTAAGTTAAGCTATGAATCACTATACTATGAGAAAGAAATTCTGTATTCATTTACTGTACGTAATTTAGTGATGTTTTCACCATCAGAAATGCTTTGTTTACAAAATTTAAAAGACTATTTACCTTATTGCCAGTTCAGTATTTCTTCAGTCGTTTATTACGTTTGTCTAGTTATTTGCAAATTCATACAATAGTAATACATTATCTTCAGTTGTGTTATCTTATTTTGCGAATTTTTAATGAAAGTTATTATCCTTTAAGTTTCACATTCAGAAGGAGAATACCTATTTCTAAAGTCTATATGTTAAAGTTGTTGAAGACACGACTATAAAATGCATTTAGTTTGAGCTTCGGGGTATGACGTTTGTGTGACGGAACGTAGAACAAGTGCAGTTTCCGAAGAATTGTGGGAGAATATGGCGTTCCCCAAACAATTTCTTGCTAGTTGTGGTATCGTTTTCGCATCGTTTATCCGTTAGTCTTCACTAGCACGACTGGATAAAATTAACGATTTTTGGTTCATAAAACGAAGAACTGTAAATCATATAGTAAAGGAGACATGCTAATAAACACAGCCAATGTTTTCCAATTTTCCAACTATTGGCCGATTCGTGATTTCACTAAAGTACATTATCAGTTTGTTTTCTCTCTGCAGCCCTGGAAATTTGTTTGCGCCTCTTATTTAACTATCCGACGGGGTTCATATGGTCATTTGCACATGTTAAAGAATAATGTAAACAAACGCACACCTAACAAAAACAGGTGGATACTGTCACCCAATACCCGAGATCTAGGACATTTAGATGATCTTTCCCTCATATTACACTCGATGACAGTCAGTCTCCTTTCTGTCACTCCCCTTTTTCTCTCCCCGTTCACATAAGCACACGACAGCCGAGCCCAGCAACACGCACTGAGTAAGCACATCGTCCGAGGAGGCAGGGCGAGATTGCCATGCAGCGCACCGAACCGCCGGCGGGGCCGATCGGGTCCAGCAGCCGGCGTCGCATCCGCGCCGCGCCGGCGGCACCAACGGGACCGAGCACGCGGCGGTGCGCGCAGCCACTAACGGCACGGGGCCCAAACTTACCGGCGGCGTCGCTGCCGAACACGCTGCTCGGGTGCACGTGCCCGTCGCGGTGCAACAGGAGGTGCTCGAGCTCGGACACGCAGAAGCAGCGCTGGTGCGTCTGGCGGCTGGTCTGCAGGCAGCCGCGGAAGCACTTGGCGCACTGGTAGCACAGCGCCCACGCGTGCTGCTCGTTGATGGGCGCGTTGAACGAGACGAGGATGTCGCGCAGCGACAGGCAGCCGTTGGCGTCCAGCACGCAGCGCGGCGTCACTTTGACGTCGTTCGCCGCCATCGTGGTTCGCCTGCGTCAGCCCGCGGCGAAGCGCTCCCGCCAGCATCGCTCGGCGGCCGCGCGGAGACTGGCGCTCGCGGGCGCGCGCGCGCTCGCCGCCGCCCTCGACGCCGCAGGTGGCGCGCCGCGCGGCGGGAGCTGCAACCACCGTGCGCCACCCCTGTGGACGAGACGGCCGGCACCATCCCCGGCGAGTACGCGAACACCACGGCCAACATTGTTGCGCGAATAGGGGGTAGGGGCGGGCTCAGAGATTTTGATTTTGTATTTTATTAATGTAGCATATATTATATCATTAAATTACCAGACATTTATAATAACCGCAAATAAGGCTTTTTCATAAAAATTAACTAACTGTCCTTGTATATACTGGGCACTCCTTTCGTAGTTTCTGGATGTGCGCCTTTTCCCAATTGTGTCAATTCTTGACGTGTGGTCGCCGAGAGACTATTTAATTCACCTTTAATAAAGCGAAATTTAAGAAACAACTCGCAATTAAAAAACGCTTATTTTAAAACTCGTAGCAGTTGTGATTTCAGGAATTAATATTATTTTACTTTCTTACCTACTACGTGCTTATCTAGCAGAGAGAAAGTATTGTAATGCTGCAGCTGAAGCTGATTTTTTCGTGAGAAAATCGAATTGTTGGTCCTGATATCATATGTGTTGATAAATATTGTTCCAAAACGAAGTAAATTACTTCATATAACATTTGTAACCGGATGACTTTAGCTCACAGTCGACATCACCACTGCCACTGCAGCCACTCAGACTGGGAGGATTGATTGCGTAACCCTCTTTCCAGACGCTACTATGTATGCCTAAAATACTTTTTTTCATATTTTCATTTTTTCCCTAATATTAGAATTGAATTATGACTTTAATAAAGTTTTACAAAGTAAAACATGCTACTATATGCAAATTATAATTGACAAATTGGGTGCCGAGAAAATATCTTAATGTCGTTTCTTAAAATGCGCAAATTTAAACTCTTTCACAGAAAATTTTTGAGTTTTCCAGGGACGTCATAAAAAGTAATTTTAATTACTTACATTCAAAAATGTAATAACATCTAAAAACGCCAGTAATGTATTAACGTCAAGAGAAAAAAATCATTTTTCGGAATCAGGAGACCCTAAAACGTGTGTTTCTGTTGAAATCTCTGTATCGATTTTCCGAAACAATGCATAATCTTCTCTAACTTTCTTACTAAATATGTTAACTTGCGCCCAGACGATGCGTCTCTTGATTGAACTTGGCGCAAGCTTCTGACGCAAGCAATAGCGCACATAGCGCATGCGTTTCGACCGTGCGTCTTTTCTCAGAAAGAAAGGACTCGAGTACCAGCGCATGGCTTCCTACAGGAGACGGGAGTCTCGTGCGCCTTGAGCGCGCGTTTTCTCCAAAGGACAAATTGGGTGCACCCTTCAAAACAAACGAGCGTGCATTTCTAATCCTATTTTATGCTTATTTAGTCTTTTCTTTTTGTTTTTTGTTTTGTTTTGTTGTTGTTTTTATCACCACATCTGCGTTTGAGTACATGCTGAAGTTTTGTGGAAAGTAAAGTATATCTAGGGAGTACTTCCTCTTCTTTCGTCTCCTAGAGTGTAGTAGGCAGGCCATATAGGCGAAGCATTCCAACAGCATTCAATTATAAACGGCGCATGATCCGACAGGGAAAGGTGGGATTCACTAACCTTGGGAATAAAATCATCCCTAAAGAGTGAATCAGGGGTACGCTGGACTCCTCAAGCAATGGTGGAAGCAATCAGCCTAAGAGATGGAAAGACCTTATACAAAAGCTCTCGTCCACCAGGTTTGAGGGTTGGGCTGTAGGCTAGTGCCCTTCACCTCTCACCGCTAAAAATTGTCAAGTGGATTCTGCCTCGGATATTTCAAAAGAGAAACATCGGCAAAGAAAATTGATAGGGAATATTGCTGCATGGAATATACACAGCATTTGAAACAAACAACAGTAAGTAACTCAGAAAATGATAAGAAGGAACATAGACATAGCCGACTACTCTGAAAGAAAAAGAAACGCAAGAAAAGCGGGAAACTGAACAACATTGTACACTTCTAAAGGGCAGTAAACAAACCTGAAGCTGAAGTGCTGAAGTCAGAATTTCTATTGTTATTGGTGAAAGATTCGGCAAATATATAAAAAATTGGGAAAGGTATTAAAGAACGTCTTATTAGCGTTACAAACATAGGAAAATACATAAGTGTCTTAAGTATAAGTGGAATATATAATTTGAATGAGTATTCCCCAATGGCTAAGGAAGACAATTTTGAAATAATAGTCAAAAAATTCCTACACAGTATTTCCAAGTCCCAAAGTCTCCAATAATACTTCCAGGAGATTTTAACGGCAGAATTGGAAGGGAAGTGAATATCAATATTGTGAATATCAATATTGTGAACCAATATAGAGGAAACTCGCAATGAAAATGGTAAAAGACTTATTAGTATTTGTGAAGTATGAAATGAAACTCAATAACACTTTTTTTCAACATACGAAAATTCACAAGGCAACCTGGTATCATATGTTGATACCAGATTAAAAACTTAAATCTATTATAGACCTTTGAATAACCAAGCAAAACCTTTATTCAAAATATAAGATGTTAGAGCGAAACAGGGAGCTCAATGTAGAGATCATTGTTAGTTAATTGCTCAAATATACATTCCATTTACTTCAAATAGCATGAATACAGACGATAAAGATAGATGTGTTATGAAACCTACCAGATACAAATTAAGCAGTCTCCTCGATGAAAGAATAGCATATCTTCACAGAAAAAGCTAAACCACTGGTAAAGCACAGGTCAATAGAAACAAAAAATAGTACAAAAAAATCTATTCACCAAGTCGCAGAGGAGGCTTTAGGTGAATTAAAATTATTAAATTCGAAACAATATTGGTTTGTCTAAAAGAAATAAGAGGAAACTAGGGCTGGATTTAAAATAGCTTAGTGACAAGAAAAATGAAACAACAGTATGAAGCAAAAAGTAGAGAAGTAAAACAAGAATTGTTATGAAGGAAAAATAAAATTTAGCTGGATAAATTAAAAAACCTTTATTCAAAATATAAGATGTTAGAGCAAAAAATTTAACGCGACATTAAAAATAAAAGTAATTATATATATTAAAACGAATGAAATCAACAAAAGCGCATTATCAAACATCAGTATCAATAAATAGAAAGAGTATTCAGAGAGACTGCTACTATAAAAAAAAGAATTTTCTTTCAAACAAGAAAGTGAAATTTAAGAAAATGGTAGATCAATTGAAGATTTAGGGAAAGCGCATAAAACAATGAAATCAAATAAATAATCTGACCCGGGAGAGATACCGGCAGACCTATTGAAATATGGTTTCTGTAAACTGCAAAATCCAGGGAGATGAAGGGAAGTTTATCTGGGTTTCATTGATCTTCAAAAGAACTATGACAATGTACCGGTTGCTAGAGTATGGAATGAAATAGAAATCAGTAAGAACTCAATGGGAGCCACACAGAATCTTTATAAGAGCATCTCTCAGATCAGTAGGCTCTCGGATCTATTTCCAGTCAGTAAAGTCATCGTCAGGGATTCTGTCTTTCCTCAACGCTGTTTAAAATATATGTACATTACTTTTCACAGCAGTGGGAAAAGCAATGCAGAATAATGGGAATGACGACCGGGGAGGATAAATTATATACATTATATTTCGATGATGACTTGATAGTCTTCTCCGTGGGATACCGCACTGTCTGTGCGGGCGAGAAGGCTTGCCTATGCCGGTGCGGCGATAACGTAGCTACTGGTAGGATCTCCTTAGCCGGATTAGCTCTGGAGGAGGAGTCAGACGAAGATATCCCTCAACGACTTATCACGCCATTTAGACACATTCCCATTGTTTTACCTTTCTCACTTGTTTCTTAAATCATTCCTCCCTTTTCTTGGGGTAAGGGTGGGCAGGAGAGAAGCCAGACTGTCAAGGGAAGGTAACCCCAAAAAAGAAATCTCCAGTGCTCCAGGTTGGAGGTTAGAGCATTGGGTCAGCACCCCTACCGCTGTTATAAATGTTGGATTGCTAAATGTCCCAAAAAAAATATAAACGGACTGTCTAGGAAACGACAATGCAAACGGAGATGGTTTATGAGTGTAAGAACATGGAACGTACTGGGTATTAATCTGAAAAATGTAGAATCCTTGGAACACTAAGAAAATGAGATGTGGAAATTGCTGTCTTGTCAGTAACGAAAAATAAGGTCAAGAGGTAGAGGAAGTTAAAAACTACATGCACATTTTTAGTGGGGATTATAAAGAAATCAGAGCCAGGAGAGAACTTTCCATCGCCGTATCAAAAATATATAAAATAGTTTTAAGAGTCATACGTCAATGAGATTTTAACACTAGATATTAAAATAAAAGGAATAGAGATGTTTTCATAGACATATATGCCCCAAACGATGCCCCTGAGATGGAGAAGATTGCATTTTTTAATCAATTGACAACAGAAAATATATATTTTTATTTAAAGGGTTTTAATGGTGGATTAGGAAGGCAAATCCAAAATGACGTGGTCGGAAGGTACGGCGAGGAAATCGTGAATTAATGGGGAAAAGGCTGACGGAAGTGTGTATGCAAAATGGATTAAAATCCAGGATGGGTTCTTTAACCATAAGGATATTCAAAAACTTACATCGATTAGAGGAACAAGAAGAACATTAATAGATCACGTACTTCGCAAACATGACAAAATCAAATAAGAAGACATCAGGGTATACAGAGTGTCCGGGAAGGAAACGTCGAAATTTCGAAAATAAGCTCTTAAGACAATTTTAAGCATATTTTGTTCAAAAACTACTTGGATATTCCGAATCGCTGAATCGGAATAAAGACTCAAAAGTTGTTTTCAAAAAATGCTTTCTAGGCAAAAATTTGCATTGCAGAAGCATATAAACACTCCATAAATATGGAAATTGCTTATTATTTACAAAAGACATGAATATATTTGTTCAAAAAGAAAAATTAACACATAATTTAAAAAGTCACCCAATTTACACAATTCGACT